TGTTTCGTTGTGTACTTTCAATTAACATTTGTTTAAACAGGCCGCCGATCCTATATTCGGCATGCGTATGGCGCGTGCTGGAGTTTTGCGTGCCGTGGTAGTTACTAGTATAGTATGGCTGTTGGTCGACGTTGTGGTGCTATTCTATTATCTAGATGCCGGTAGTTCTTCAAGTAGACAAAGGTAAATATTTTCTCTTCTCAATTCCAAGGTTCGTCTGCTTTTAATTGACGCAGAAGGTTGACCTCCCTTAAATAACCATGATTAAGCATTATTTCTGAGTGGGTAACATAGTGGTAACTTAGCCAACATAAATTTTTCTTGCCTGTCGTTACTGCTCTAAATCAAGCTATTAGTTTCATACCACTCAAAGGTAGTTCATTTGGCGCTTCCAACAATTGTGGTTGATGAATAATTAATGCTCATATACATATGTATATTCAGTGCTCCGATTCGTGCGAATCGCCTAGCCCTCTCAGAGAATCGGATACCTTTACAGCCAGCTTCTCAAGATTCTGAGAAGAAAGAGGTCGATATAAATTTGTGCCGCTATTTTCTGTACATTTTGTGAAATGTTGATGTTCAGGTTATTGATGCTCCACGAGCGAGAGTTTTATTGCAAAAGTCAGCCACCGTCGATCCAGCAGTTCAAGAAAAACTTGATAAGCTTTTGAGCTGTGAGTACTAATGATAGTAATCTTGGGTGTTTTGTTTCATGTGTCTGAATTTGACTGGCACCATATTGGTCTAAAATGGAATCCATGAAATTGTCAAATGGAATCATTGTGGAATTTCACTCGAAGTTCCACATCGTGCGAGAGAAGGACGAGTTTTTTGGCGGCCGTTATCGGCGCGGGCGAAGCGAGTTGCCACTACAGGCCCGTTAGATCAACACTTCTTTTGATGAGGGATTCCTGATTGAACACGCTCCTACCGAATAGGGGACAAGCTGGTCTCAAAATTCCGTTCCAATTGGTATCACTAGGAATTCCGCGAATATGTTCTATTTTCAAATGCCCTTGTCAAATAAACATGATGGAAGTGATGTGACTTGCAGAATATAAGCTTCACATTCTTTGCAGTGAAGTCTTTCCAACCCCCTGAGTATGGCGAGAATGGAGTTGGAGTTGCTCTGCCTGCCGACATGACTGAAGAGAAAGATAAGCGATTCTTGGAGAATCAGTTCAATGTTGTAAGTGTAGTAGTTCGTAGCCTTCGTGAGCGTATTGAATGTCAACCAGTCACTTTCAGATTGCTAGCGAAATGATTTCCATCAACAGATCGTTACCTGATTACCGATCCGCCGAGTATGTTACCTTTTTCGCATATGTTGCTTAATCTACTTTAGACCATTGTGAATGTGCTTGCCGAAATTCTAGGTGTCAAGCTAAAAGTTTCCTACCCTAATCTGCCGAAGACTTCAATTATTATCGTTTTCCATAACGAAGCATGGACCACGCTTCTTCGTACTCTACACTCTGTTATCAATAGGTATCACTGTTTCACTGTTTTCAGCAGCTCTGAGCTTGATAGTGGATATCAACCAGGAAACAAAACTTGTATTTTTCCAGATCACCTCTGGCCCTATTGGAAGAGATTATTCTGATCGATGACTTATCAGATAGGGATTACCTCAAAGCTCCTCTGGATGAATATATAAAGCGCTTCCCTGTGCGTAAGCTGAGGGTTCATTCCTTTTAATACTTTGTGGTGACCTATATTGTTTTGAAGGTTCCCATGCGGATTGTCCACTTGAAGAGGCGGAGTGGTCTTATACGGGCACGCTTAACTGGCTCTGGAATGGCCAAAGGGCGTGTGCTTTTATTCCTAGATGCGCATGTAGAGGTACGGTATTTCAGTATTTTCAGATGTACGTGTAAATGAATGTTATTCGCTTGTTAAGATAATCAATCCTTATGAATCAATAGGTCATAAACCAAACAGTAAGTCACAGAATACAAGCTCCGATTGAGTGCAAGAAGGTTTCTTTCCCATGTGGGTATGGTATAGGTAGATTATGTTGTGTGAGACATTCAGAGCATTGTGAGGAGTGTTGGCTGGAAAACCAAATTGTGTTTCTTCCTTTTTCAGTTGTTTTTTGGATTCCTGCTTCAGACTGTCTTTGATGCCGCATTTTTGTAGAATATTCATGAGCCAAAAACGCTCTGTTTTTCAATGAATTCTTTACCATGCTTGCATGCAACGATTTATATATCATTTGACAGTTTCTGTTTGTACGAGAACTATGCTATTCATGACGAGCGCAACTCATTTCTATATTATCAGTTCTCTTCGTAGCATTCCGAAATTTCAGTCGCTTAACTTTGAGCGGGCGTTGGGCCTGGGGGCCCAATCGGCCCCTAGGTTCATTTGAATGTGAAATTGTTTGAAATATTTTTCCAATGACATGAATAGCAATTTTGCATATGTTACAGGTTACTGAAGGTTGGCTTGAACCACTCGTAGACAGGGTAGCCAGAGATAGGAAGCGTGTAGTAGCCCCCATTATAGATGTGATATCGGGTAAGTTTTGTTCTCAAATTTTGTCGTGATCATGAATTTAACTCTGTTGGTAAAAAATTTTCCTTCAGATGATACTTTTGAGTATGTAACTGCTTCTGATACGACATGGGGAGGCTTCAACTGGCACCTGAACTTCCGCTGGTATCCAGTTCCAAAACGTGAAATGTTGCGAAGAAAGGGCGATCGTTCATCGCCCATCCAGTGAGTGAAAGTTTGGAACTCTTTTTTTTCTGCGAATCAATACTCTGTTTAGAACGCCAACCATTGCTGGAGGTCTGTTCGCCATTGACAAGCAGTTCTTCTACGACATCGGCTCTTACGATGAGGGCATGCAAGTATGGGGAGGAGAAAATCTGGAGATCTCTTTCAGGGTAAGC